CTTTCAAATGTCATTTTATCCCATCATCAGTAACATTTTAAAATCCCGATTATGTTATCCTGAAGTATTTGTGTGCTTTCTTAGAAATTGTACATAAACTCCTTTACAGCAAGGCTTGTACCTTCTGTTTTTCTCTCAAGGTCCAGGGTAGTTCTGGTCTGTGGTAGGCAGTAAGTAGTTCAGTGGCAGTAAGAAGTTAGAGATTTAATTGCCTGTCTAGGTTTTTACCAGGTTACTAATAAAAATGATCCTTGAGGATAGCCAAAAAAGGAGGAAATTATTTTGAAAGTAGGTCAGTTGACAAGAAAGTAGGTGGGATTTCATGTCTCATTGTAAGTGTAAGCATGACCATTGGGGCTCCTTCTCAGCTTAAAAGCACAAGCGTGTCTTCCTTCATCTTTCCAGGATAAGTTCCCGGCAGCAGGCGTGACTCAGTAGTTACGTCTGAGGGCCAGAGCACGTGAGCTACCGCTGCAGAACCAAGGTGATGCTGCAGCATTGTAAATAAACCTGTGTCAGGGACGTGCAGGACCCAGTGCCTGTGCTCAGTGTTCGTACTCACTAGTGCTTTGTGTTTTTCTCCTCAGTGTCCTGGTCGTCATAGGCCAGGGATTTGTAAAATATTTAGGTGTCTTGATGAGGGAGATTTTTAAAAAAATAAAAAGCCCCCCGTGACTTAGGATCATTTGATGAATTAATCAGTACTTCTGAAATAAATGCATAAAATTCTTCTGGACAAATTATTGATTATGAACTTACTATAAACACTGCCTATTGCCAACCCGAGACTTTAAATTCCTAAAATAGGAACTTTTGTGGAGCTGTGGCCATGACCATTTCTTCCTTCAGTGCCCAGTTCTTAATCATTTCCTCTTCTGTGTGCTCCCATTTCACCTTGTCCATATGATCTTGAGATTCACACTAGTTCTCTGGTCCTTTGGAAATAGGACAAAATGTCAGCACTCTGACTGTGGACATGACTCGAGGAGGAGTCCTCCTCTTGTCCCTCCTCCTTGCTTGATTGCTTTTGTTCCCGTGTATCTGCCGTATTCTCCACTGGGCAGGCCCATGTTTGGCAGCTTCACTCGCAAGAATTTCAAGCCTGGGTGGTTTATTCTGAAGATCGGTATCTCCAGGATAATCAGGAAAGGCAGTAAAAGAGAGCCTAGAGACTAAAAAGTATCTTGATTTTTCTGTTGGCTCTCATTTTTTCATAGTAGACATATTTCATATCTCAGTTCCCATGTGACATGTCTTCTTTCACTTAACATTTGTCATGATCCTGTAGTGCTCATTTTCCCAGTCATTATGTAATATCCCACTGGCTTCAGGGACTGTAATTTATCCACATATTTTGTATTTTCAGACATTTAGATTGCTTTTATTTTGAGAAATCATTTTCCCCTATTGACTTTTTTTTGGGGGGGTGGGCAGGGACTTGCTACATAGTTCAGGTTGACCTTGAACTCACTGTGCAGCCCAGGCTG